GTCGTCGAAAATTGCGATAAAATCGCTGAATTGGTCGAAAGAGACCGGCATAGTAGCAGCCGTAGCATCGGTCAAGAGCTGGGCATGAGTCATCAACAAAAATTTTATGAGCAATTGAAAATTCAATAAAAATTCAATAAAAATACCGCAAAAATACCGCAGGACTTTTTTGACAAACAATACATACTTTAATATTTTTAACAGACTTAGTATATACTATGGGGTTAAAAAATGAACAAAGTAAGAGCCGATATTATTTATTGTTGGCGACATATTTCACTCGAACTAACAATATATATGAAGATTGCCACCTAAATATTTCTAATATAATATATTATATGATGTTAGGTGCAGATGTCTACTAAACTCATCCATATTAGGTGATAAACCACATTCCGCGAAGGTATAATGGATATTTGATGGATACATTTTTATGGCAGCTTTAACTCATATCAGCAGCTTATTAGGGAGAAAAATCATGTGCGAAATTTCAGATCAATATCTCCAAAACTCATGGACCAGTTCGCATATATACATACGTCCTCGGGGATGCCGAGCCCGGGAGGAACTATCTCCGATCTCCCACTCTCTCTCGGTCACTGACTGCTATATCAATCAATAAGTCAAACTTAATGGCCCAAACCTAACTTCGTCTTCGAAAGTACAGTCCTTGCCTTGATAAAACGTAGAACCGGCCATTGTGAGAATTGTAACATACACCACTATCTCTTCGACCTTTCTGTCAGCAGCAGATGAGGAAAAGACAAAGAAACGTTGTTGGCAACATACAAGGTAAACCGCTGGCCGGTCCTTAACTACGCCGCAACAATATTAAGCCTGTATGCTCTCAATTAAGGAGTATAATGAAATCTTCCAGCAGTTGCTGGAGGGGTGCCTTCGCAGAAATCACATCTGCCATCCTATGGTTAGACCCCGTCAAAACATCACGTTTCCTGGGCCTACCGTTCGATGACCCCGAAGACAACTTAACTAATACTTACCATCCTAAAAGGGAATCCGTACCACAAAAACCAGTCTAAACCAAGTTCTTGTTTAGAACTTTTTTATTTGTGAAGAGTATTGTAGCATTGGCGAAACCGAATTTAAGGTTTTTCTTTGCTGTAGTTTTTTACCCATGTGCTCCTTTACAATTTTGAACAAATGTTCTAAATAACCTTTAATAATAAATACCTTTTGGCTTACCTTACTTATCGTATCTCTTGGAAGGTAGTTGTGTTCCCAAGGACACAGACACCTTTCATATCAGGAGTCAAAACGTTTCATGTAGTGGTGGCCATCGAAAATAGGAGAATAAATCCAAGGCATCTCGAAACGAATACCAAAAAAAGGTCTATAACTTATCGAAATACGAAAAAGTTGGTAGTTCCCTTAAAACCATCCTCTATAAACACCTCAGTATGATTTCAAAGATAGTAATTTTTTAATCTTTTCGAAAATTTATTGAATCAGAAAAATACATTTTTGAAAAAAAAAAAATATTCTTTAAATTTTTAAACAATATGAATTGGTTTCATTTATCACTGTAGTGAATCCCCTCAGTTGCGGCAGACGCAGACACCGCTACCATTACAATAACCACCACGGTTGCCACGGAGTATGCAGTGGGCCGCACAAGCGCTGTGATTCACACCGGTTCCGCTCAACAGATCACAAGTGGCGCGTTTTTGACGACTTGACTCCACTGTACGCTCCTCCTTTAGCACAGCCAATTGTGCGTCATCGGCCTCCAGAGCAGCTGTATCAGCGGGAGCTGCTTTGATGCCTTGGAACAGGCAGAAAACGCAAAGGACAGCAGCGAAAAGTACGATTGTCTTCATATTGACGGTTTTCAGTTTAGTTGAATTGGTTTCACTGCAAATGGTTGCTGCTGCTGTAGGCACTAGAGATAGTTTGATGTCAATTCAGTTGCTCAGCTCGGTTTTATACGCGATTTCAGCTCAGCTTGCTGTCATATTGCTGATGTCGCGTCCATATCAGATTGATAGCGCACAGTCAGTCGTTTTGTATGGCATCACGTAACAGTTAAATTTACTAGTATTTTCTGCGGGGAATTACGTTCCAGAAAAATAGTTATACCGGTAAGAAACTCTATCCGTCTTAAAAACACTTTTTCCATATGTGTGGGTGTTCCCTTGCATAGAATAGAAAGTAGTTGAATGCTTTTTGTGATCAAAAGCACTTGTGTGTGGTTTATACATTTGGACCAAACGCCACTGCCACAGGCGGAGGTATTGTGTCACGATTTCATTGTCTGTGTTAAGTTCATTAAGAATGTTCATACATAGATAGCATGTAATATTCACCTTAATTGAAAACCATTTTAATGATTTATTTATGTGTCTAGGAATATTTTCTTTTCTGGTAAAACAATATTACCGACAATTTGAAATATATATTTTTCTTGGTATATAAATCCTTATTAAAAGAAAAAAAAAAAAAAAAAAAACACTGCTAACTTCGTCTGGACAGATGCAATTCTCTTCACAAATAAAAAAATTTCCGTACAAAAACTTAATTTTGATCGTTCAGTTTGTATGGCAGTTATATGATATATTATAGTTATATATAAGATATCTCGACAAATAAAAAAGTTGTCCATACAAGGATTTGATTATAACTTTAGACCGTAAAATACATATCCAGTTTTTTTCAAGTGGACAGGTTTATCGACTAGGCTTAATGCGCAGAGCACCCATATCCAAGTTTAATTCGTCAATGATGTCATTTTGAGCAGCACCTTTATTGGTCATATTCGATATCATTGCCTGTATCTCTGGACTACCGTAACATGCATTGCGAATTGCCAATATGCTCCACTCTTTCAGCACTAAAAAGATAAACAGTACAATAAAACCCAAAATAAATAACAATATTAATGAATTATAATACTAACATGGATTTCTTGCATCCATATTGGTACATTCCAGCAAAGTGGGCAGCAATTGTGTGTCTATGCAGTAGTCTTGATTGGCTGGATTTTTGTAAAGCAAATTCGCAATGCAACGCACTAATAAGGTTTTCAGCTCAAATGACAACTCGGTTTCGAAATCACGCGAAATCTTCGATGTGAGTGCCACTTCTTCCAATTTATTCATGGGCGTAAAAATATTTTGCGACTCTTTACCCACTTGCGCCAGGCAACGTAACAGGCTACTCACATTCAAAAATAGTGACTGCTCGCTCACATATTTGTCGGCATAGAATTCACTTCCAGTCGCGCTGGCAATTACACGCAATAGCGCATAAGCTTCGCGTGCGGGCATTGGATCAGTGGCAGGCATCTGCGCGCTATCCGGCTTGCAGATTAATATACGGTCAGACTTTATATTGAACTCTTTTGTTATGTATTTCAACAGGAATTGATGTATGTGGCCATTTGGACTGTCTTGACGCAGATAATGCACTAAATATTCGAGAAAGAAAATGCGTTCCCCCGGCGTCAAGTGCGCATAATAGCGCACAGTATTGTGTCCACCATGAACAATGAAATGTTCAAAGAGAAAATGTAGAAATTCATAGCTATCCTCGCTGCGTTCGTCTACAATTGTTTGCCATGCGCGAACTGCAGCACACAACGCCTGTTGTTCCATATTCGACACTGCAGCACCTTTCAACACATTGTACACTATCATAAGCAGTATATTAGTATGAGGACCAAGTGGTGCCACCAATCCACACTCTACAATAGCAGCGCCATGACGTTGCCAAATGTTGCGTTGCGAATTTGGATTTTGCACAATTGCATTTGCGAGTAACTGTAGCGCCATTAGTTGTAGAGTTTGTGGCGGTTTAGGTGTAATGCTGTTAACAAATAGTAGCTGATGCAACTGTTCGTTGAATTTTTCGTGCTCAGAAATTGCATTCTGATGCGCCGGATCCCTGGCACAAAGGTTGCGCAGCGCTTTCAATTGCTCTACATAATGTGGCGCATTTGTGTCATCCAACGGTGGTGACTGCAAGAATGTTTCGATTCTTTTAAGACTCTCTAACGGTTCAGTGCTGAAAGATTTGTACACTTTAATTAGTATTCGTGGATGAAAACAAATACTCACTTTTTACTGCACTCCATCGTTGTCTTCAATTTGTTTACGTTTTTATCATGGTACTCTACCGTGGTTTTTATCAAATATAGTTTGTCAGCTGGTGGTTAAATGAACATGTGAGCTACCACAGGGTGACTAAAGTGATTAAGAAATGTGTCTGCACTGTGGTTTATTTTTATATTACAATATTTAAGCATATAATTGAGTTAAAATTATTAATATCATTATAAATAATAATTATTTGTCATTATTAGTAATATGAAATTTAACATTTCTGCTAGTAATTATTTCAATAAGTAGTTTTGAATATGAGAAGCTAAGTTATTGCACAATATTTAATTTTATTGTAGTACTTGGCATTCGTTTTTTAAGTTATGAAGTGAGTTATGTCATAATAATGGCATTGCCTAAGTATGTATAATTGAAAAAAATTCTTTTAGAGAAAGAGAGAGTTATTGGTGTAAGTAATGAAAATTTTTTGATTTCAACTTATTTTCTTCAAGGTTTAATTTAATTTAAACATATGTAGTAGAGATAGACAGAAATATACATAGTGAAACTTTTTTAAAATCATATTTGATTAATGTACATTTTTTTTATTATTTTGATTAAGGTACACTTATCACGAACTAAATTCTCTGCACACTCTGCACTTCTGTGCGAGCCTCACATACATTTTTTTGAACATTATGAATTCTTTCAAATTTTTGTTAAAGTTTTATTAATATTGAAACAAATGATTTTTTTTAGTGTTTAATGCTTTTTATTATTTTTTGTTTTTGTATTTTTTTTTTGTAATCTAATAACAACAAATACATTAATATGTATGCGAATTAAAACTAAATTGTGTCAACTACAAACCAGCAGGCAAATATTTATGTTTAATTAACATTTAATTTTTTACAATTACAATGCAACGCGGTTACAGAATTATTAATATTTTTTTAATATAAGGCAACATGGATGGATGGTGGACAAGAGAAAAGGCACATTTCGGTTGATTTTTTAATGTATGTAGATACATATGTATGTATGTTAAGGGTATATAAAAATAACATTTGATACAGCAAAGTTTTAGGTATGTATGTCGGTTTGTTTTACTAAGCTGTGCAGTGACACTAATATCGGCTGAATATCTTTTTGAATATTAAAATTCATTTATTATTATTAATTTTTTTTCAAATAAAATATTTGTGATACACTGAGATTTCATACTGCTTGTGCAAATGTTTAATTAATCAATTAATAATGTTTTTTTTTTTGGAAATAGCTTTGACTAGTTTTATTAGTAAACCATTTGGAGGCTTGCCACGTGGCCGCATTTGTGCTGACTGCTCTTGTTGTTGTTGTTGCAAGCACCTCACTTTGTGTTTTTTTAGCAAATTAAATACAAATTATTATTTTCCAACGCTAACTTTGTGGTTAATAATATACATATATGTATATATGTATGTATGTAATATATAGAATTGTATTCTTCAACATTGATATATGTAAATAAATATTTTTTTTGTGTTTTTGTTTTAAGTTAAACCGTTACACAAGTCTGCAAAATAAAATAATATATATGTATGCATATAATAACAACAAAAATTAAATGTAATTTATATTAAGCGACTTTTACTATTGCAGCTGCTGGTATTTGTTTTTTGTTTTTGTTACATTAATATTTAATTTCTTTGATTGCTTTTCATTAAATTTGTTCATTCAACTAAAGTGTTCATCTCTTTTTTGTTTTTGTTTCTCTTTGTTTGTGATTGTGTGTGAGTGTGTTTAATAGAACGCATTGACCAGTTCCACTGGCGCCACCCGTGCACGAAAGCGCTCAGCTCAGCGTACCCGTTCCACATAATTGCCGGGGAAGGTGCCGAAGCAGCCCGTACGCTGCGACGTGCCCACGAACCAGCCGTCGTCGCATATCTCCAGCACGTGGACGATGTCGCCCTCCAGCAGTTCCATTTCGTCGGAGTTCTGCGGCCGGTACTTGTAGAGTGCGCGATAACTGCAGCAATTTTTGGAGAAAAATTAGTGAAATTAAAGTTAATTTTTGTTTTTGTTGCAACTTACACTAGAGGCTCTGAATGCGTGTCCACGTGCAGTGCATCGATTTTGTTGTTGTGATGTTTGGTTTCCTTGAGTATGCCATTCGGTGGCTGATGGCCATTTTTGGTTATTAAATTGAACTCGTTATTAATATTTGTGCGTAGCGTGTCGAGTGAGGGGCGTAAATTCGTGACGCTCGCCTGATCGGTGATAACGGTGCGAGCGGCAATATCTTCGGCGCCAATATCAGTGAGTACCTGTTCGTTAATTAATATTTGAATAACGGTAATATGTATTTTTTTAATTATCCACGGTTACCCACCTCAACATATGACACTGGGAAGATGCCCTTTCTATTGGCTATTTTTCCCTCAAACCAATTGTCATCCACACGTCGTGTGAGTGTGACCAGTTCGCCTTTGTTCAGCGACAATTCGATGCCGGATTGCGCTTGGAAGTTATATTTGGCACGCGCCTGTCCCTCTGATGGTTTCTTTGGTTGTTGACGAGCAGTTTCTTTGTTGACGACCTGTGAGAAATAAAGTTAGAAAAAATTAAATATTTATTTTGTTAAGGAGTTACATGGGTTTCAAAAAATCTAATTTTTTTGTCTTATTAAATTCTATAACACCTCCAGAATATTGTTCAAAATTTTCCCTTGAAAACTTTCCCTTTTCTTGATTCGAGTAATAGTTGAAAAGATACAGCCTTGAGAACTTGATATACCATTTTTAAATTTTTGGTCGAAGGATTCTGTTTCGATTATAATTATTAAAAACAAAAATACCACGAAAAATGGTGAGAACAAGCTGCTTTTATAAGAGGAAACCCATGAAGCCTGTTAAGACCAGTCCCAAAATTTTACCAATTTTTTTAGCAAAGATTTCATAGTAAAATTTATAAAAAAGTTAAAAATTTAAAAATTAATAAAATTTTTCGAAAACTATTAAAAAAAAAAGATAAGTTTATTTAGAAGGGCCATTTTAATAGGGCTGCCACTTATTTTTAAAATACATTTCTGCTTTCAAATTTTTTTTTATCATTTCTTCAAATCACTAAAATGTTTTCTTCAATAGTTCATTCGCTTTCTTATGCTTCTTCTTCGCTCAATGGCAACACTCACCTCCACATAGCTCACGGGCAGTAGACCAATCATGGCATTAAATTCGCCTTCGTACCAATTGCGATCAATCTGGCGGCGTATGTAAATTATGTCGCCCTTCTTGAATGTAAGCTCTCTGCAAAAAAAAAAAAAAAACAAAATAATAAAAAAAATTAGAAAACATATAATCTTCAAAAGAAAAAAGCTTTAAGTATTTCCAATTTACCTTGCATTTTGTCCTTGGAAGTTGTATAGCGCACGCGCTGCAGTTCGTGTTGTTATCGCATTCGGCGATTTGGGCGCCAAGTCCGATTGGAAGTCATCATAACGATTTAACGGTATTGGTGATTTTTGTGTGGGTGTAAAGTTATCGGTGTGACGACGTGCATTCATATCCTGCAACTCCTGTAAGTACTTGCGACGCCGTTCCTCCTGATAAAGCTTTTGCATTTGTTCGGCTTGCCGTTGTGCTAAATCCTCATCCGACATGGCCTGTTTATATTCATGACGTATTGGTGTCTTGAAATGGATATTTACATCCGATTCAAGATAACGATTTGGAGATTCTATGGAGGAGAATTGAAGGGGGCGGAAATGTTATTAATGGTTGACTTTTTGGTGTAGCAATGAAGCGCATAAGTATTTAGAGATTATATTGAAATTGGTTGTTGGAAAGGGCCTTATAAAATCATGGGTTTTATCGTTCGCTCCGTAGTTTAAATGTTCTAACGTTCAACGGTGGTTGCTTTAGTGATAACTTGTGGGAGCCTTACTTGGATTATATTTGTTTTTGGAATTACAATCTGAATAAAGAAATATCTTAGCAGACAGTTTTCACAGTTTTTTGTTTTAATTAACCCTGTTTTTTGTGATTCTCACGAAGAGAGGAAGACAGTTCTCTCTTTAGAACTGGATTCGCCCGTTTTAACCGGAGTTGAAACAACAAACCAATTTGACGGAACTTGTAACCCTTTTGTGAGTTAAATTAGATTTAATATTTATTTTTAGAGATTTTTCTGAAATATTTCATTAATTTTAGTTCACAATTTCAAAAATATTTCACTGTCATCCAACCTCATAATGGTAGCAGTGGCTAAAAATCTGGAAGACCTGTGGATAAAATGGAATAACTGCATAAATGGTTTGTACCGATGGTTTGCTACTGCTGCTGAGGTATTAGCCAGTATGGCGCCGATTGACATCCAGAAAGTTGAATTCGCCAGAATATATGTACTTGTATATGTTATCAGAGACGTCTAAATCAAAATTGACATCAAAATTAATCAAAAGCATCGTAATGTGTCAGTAATGGTAGTAAACTTCATATAAAGGTCGGTGCACCCACTGGACTGTTTCCGGACATATGTTCGTGGATAGATAGACAACATGGGAACCTCCAAGAACATATTGTCCGACGTGCACCGAGTGTACAGAAGACTATGAACGCACACTCTATCATTGTCTTTGGTTTAAAAGTATAAGGGAAAAGCTGAAAACCACAATTGGAGGTAGTCTCACGGAAGAAAATTTCATTGTACTTAAGTGCGAGTTATCTGTGAAATGGAAAGCTGTTAAATGTTGTCCTGTGGTTCCGTGGGAGAGACATGATATGGGAGTAGGTTAGGTTTAGCGGATTAAAGTCCCGCACTCCGGTTTTCGACGCTTCCTCCTACTATAAAAAAAACCCTGTCATCCAAACCTTATTCTGAACAGGGTGTATTAAGTTTTCCATATTAGGTCCTCATATAGAAAACTTTTATTTTATTTTATTTTATAAGATATCTCCACGGCATACAATATTGTGCAAGACAATAATTCCAATCACCGAAGAAATTGCTTAGCTTATAGCTACCCTACAAACTGACCGATCAAAATTAAGATATTTTCATACTATTTTATGCCATAAAAGACCTGTGCAATCAATGTCTATGTTTCTTGTTATTGTATGTAAATCGTTTTACTTTTATCGCAAATCGCCGGTTCAATGCTCATGAATTATTGCACAATCGTTTTGATAAACTATTTATATTATTTTCATATCACAAACATTACAATGACATTACTAAGTATTTTTATTGTTGTTGTTTGTTTGCATACGTAACACAAAATTCCACGAATAATTTATGAGTAGCTAGCTATTCATTTATTAACATTTTTATTGCCGCGCTGGGGACATCTCACTGCATATTGACATGAAATTAACATATAAATATATTTTTGTGTTGTTTCATATAAAATTCTTGAACACAAGAGGCGTAGGATTAGTTCAAAAATAGCGTTGAATTAATACAATCGGAAATAGTAATATTTTCGAAATATTCATAATTTCTAGTGTTACTTTTCTTATGAATGCCTCTGAGTTGGTACCGTTTACCGGTTCTGTAGGGCTTCAAATTTGTGAGTTTCTATGAGTGCTAGTAAATTTTACTGTCGATTATTTTCACAAATTGGACTTGACTTCTTGTGCTTTGCACCAAATCTGATATTGTCACGAAATCTGTGTCGCAGTACCTGCTTAATCTGTACGTGTACTATATGCCGTTCATTTGCGATGTTTCTATTTGTCCACATTTAATTAGATTTATGTTTAATTGCGCTAAAAACACAATTAGAAAAATGTATAGCGATTATCACGCGTCGCAAGCCACACAGCGAACAATGCAACACAGGTCTCAATGAATGGAAAAATGAATGATGACGCTCTCTCCGCGACAGGTGCGAGCGCTAACCGTTTTTGTTGTGTTTTGTACTTTGCTACTTATTTGGTCTAGTGAAATTCGAAACCATTAAAAGTGCAGCTTGTTTTCAAGCTTAGAAAAAGAGGCTTTCAATAGCATATATATTATTATTGTATATATGTATATATGATGTGTGTCTACATACCGTCGTCAGCGCACACGTTAAAAATATATAAAAAAATATATCTATATAATTAGCTACGAAAACCCAGACTTAACAATGCGCCTAGAGAAAATAGACTGTCACTGATTGCTGTCATACAAATCATTGATCGTTCAGTGGAAACTTGAACGTCGCACGCTGATCGCCTCAATGTTTTTCAATTGTTTGTCGATACACATTTGCCTTGACATACAGAACTTAGTGATGGCCGACAAAGAAAAGCTGAAACGCGGGAAGCTTCTGCGGCGCAGCGCTTAACGCACACACATACACATTCTAGTCTATAATATATTTATAAAAAAATGTATGTACATTAAGTATTTGCGTCGCCGCAAATTTATTGAATCAAGTAATTGTCAACAAACAGCAAATAATAATTGTCAAATAACAATTAGTAGGTCGCCGCCGCAGCGCGCGTGCTCGCTGGCGAAAGAGTAGGGCGGCAAGGCGATCGACTAAGCAGTAGTTACTAGTTAGTATGTAAGGGCCGTCGTATCAGCTGTAAGACCTTCAATGGGTGGTTCGAATGAATTCAATTCAAATGGACGCACTACGATTACAAGCGTGAGTGTGTGTGTGCGTCAAAGCGGATAGTGAACGTGCGTTAGGGTGGCTGGTGGCTGCCACGACTGAAGTCTCAAGCGGTCCGCCTCACCTTCAGTTACAAAAGTGAGGTAAACAAACAGCTAGATAAATACAAAATAAAGCATGAAAACGAAATTTTTGTGTGTGTGTGGCAATTTGTTATTGAATACGAGTATGAAAAACAACACATTTTTATCTAATTTCCTGACTTTATCTGCCGATTAGCTTTTTTAAAAGAAATTTAATTTGTTCGTCTGGAGTGGCATTTTCCGCATGAGCAGCTGGAAATTGTTTAATTATTTTGACTACCGTATGCATAACTTGCTTGGTTTGCTGTGATTGACGGTAAAAAGTAATAATTGCATGCACAGTCAGTAATTGCATGCATACGTACGTATGTATTTTCATATATATGTACATATTTTTGAAGCGTAAATAATAATGAAAGATCGTATGGGGAAATAATGCAAATAAAAGTTGGAAATTCATAAGTATGTTAAAGTGGTTTTGCTTTGTAATATTTTTTAGTCTGTTTTCTTGTAAGCGTGCAGAAAAAAAACAACGCTCACTAAAATAATGATATACAAAGCAGCCACTTAGACTCAATTATTTTTTCCAGTTCACAGAATTGTTAAAAAAAAAAAAGGAAAATGCATTAATTTTGGTGGCAAAGAAGCTAACATCCTCTAAGAGGTTACCTGGGTTTACGGGTATCAAAAACTCGACTTTTTTTATTGTCTTTTTAAATTCTACAACACGTCTTCAATAGTTTCCTAAGTTTACCAGTTGATCCGAGCAAAAGTTTCGTAGATACAGCCTTGAGAACTTGTGCGCTTGAGGCTAACTAGGCTAAGTACGCTATCTTTAAACGCGTTATTCTCGAAACTATATTTTTGCAGTCAGTTGGCAAGATTTTTCGAGAACTACCCAACCAATCTTCATGGAATTTTAGATAGGTGTTTGAGATACAATCCTTAAAGACTTGGTCGAGGGGTTTTTTCGATGCCAACTATCTGAAAAAAAAAATTTCAGTTCTTTTGTTCCTTCATCCAAGTTCTAATTTAAGCTTTTAACTAAAATACGTATTTTTCACTTTAGATGATCCTGTAAGGAGTTATCCTGCCACCGCGAACGCATCTGTTTTCCGAGTGCTCACCGGAAATGGCGTCGCAATGGTCGAGTTTAAAATATTTTCTTGGCAAAAATTTCAGAATTTCTTTGTTAATAGTGTATGTTTGTAAAAGAAAAGATTTCTAAAAAATATTATATAAATGTGAGAAAAAAAATTGTTTAAAGAAAGATGTTTTTTACCAACTACCCATGTATAGTAAATAATAAAGAGATCTTCATCTTGATTTTGATAGTTGGCTTTGTATGTCAACTATATCTTTATTATGGTCCAATCTGAATAATTTGTTCCAAGATTATATTGCTGCCTTGAAAAATAACCTAGGCCAAATTTCATGAAGACATTTTGCCAAATAAAAAAAATACATACTCAAGGACTTGATTTTCATTGGTCAGTTTGTACGACAGCTAAACGCTATGGTTGTCCGATCTGTTTTAGTTAATACTCTACGAAAAATTTCGTGAAGATATTGATAGTCGAAAAAGCCTTTTCGTGGTTGCAGTCGTATATCTCAAGTGCTACCAATTACATAGTGTTGGAAAAGTGAGATTTTAAGCTTCGTCTGTGATTATTTGCTGAAACGAAATGAAATTAAACCATTTCAGAAGCGCGTAACGGGAGACGAAAGTGGATAAAACACGAGAATAATGTGCGAAAAAGATCGTGGTGAAGCTCAACAAATGGTCGCAAAGCCAGGGTTGACGCCTCGAAAGATTATGCTGAGTGTTTGGTGCGATTAGAAAGGAATCATCCACCAGGAACTTCTCCAGCCTGGTCCAAAGATTGATTCTACATTTTACTATCAACAACTGATGAGATTGAAGCAAGTAATCGAAAAAAGCGGTTAGAACTGATCAACAGAAAGTGCTTCGTCTACCATCAGGACAACGCTAGACCATACACATCTTTGATGACTCGGCAACAACTAGGATAGCTTGGCTGGGAAGTTTT